CCCCAGCAAGATGGATCGGCAAAGTGACAGCATCAATGGGCTCAAGTGTGGCAACAATTGTGAGGTTGACCCAATATCGGGCAGTGTTTCATTCTATTGTGCATAGGGTCACTGAGTTGGCATCAACTAGTTGGCACCTAACAACAACAACAATTATAATACTATCCCTAAAACATAAAATCCTTAGTAATATTAAAACACCAACAATGAAATGAATCTTTATTGAGAACTTAGGTGCTTCAAGTTAGATACTGCTATTAAGTGCTAGTTACTGTTGTTGTTGGTGTTGTTAAGTGCCGTCGAGTCAATTCTGACCCATAGTGATCCTGTATAGGGTTTCCAAGGAGTATCTGGTGAGTTTGAACCACCGACTTTGATGTTCAAACCGACTTTGCCATCCAGCGCATTACCCCACAGCACCACACCATAAGTGCCTTAAGTTTTAGCAACAGTGCCATGAGATAACTGCATAGCATCATTTTAGAGTTGGAAAACAGATGCCAGGGAAACTGGGAATTAAACAAGACCTAAGTCACAGGGTTTTAAGATTCTGGAAATTACAAGAAATCTTCCTACTTCTCAAAGAAATGGAATGTTTCAAAGTTCTTTCCTTAACTCTCCCTCCATTTCCCTTCTTTTGCATGCCACTAAAAAAGTTCCAAACCAAAAATGCTAAAAGTTGCTTTAGTAATACTTTTATTATTATCACAGAAGTTTTCCGCATAATTCATTTAAAAGGCATGCATTCTGATCAACCTTAATATCTTCTCTTAAGCTTTCTCACTTATTTGTTTACAAAATCAGCTGGGATGCAGGCTTACATGGACATTAAAACCTGCCCAAAGAAAACCAGGAGTACTAAGAAACCAACTCGGGACCAGAGGCGGCACATTAAGAGATGGGAATACTTTGTTGCTGCAGAAGAAGTCATTTGGGACTATGCACCTATAATACCAGCGAATATGGACAAGTGAGTCATACAGGTCTTACCACAGTGGGCATGCTCAAGACATTGTTTCATTGAGTCCTAGGTACATAGAGGTGAGGTGTCAGCAGTTGATAACTCATGTGTTGGTTCAAAGCTTTTTATCCAAATCAATCTGGAATCACCTCAGATTCTTTAAGGGGACTCAGGTTAATAATAATAATAACAATGGAAGCTATGATTAGTTAAATATCTGCAGTGTGCTAAACTCTTTCTAAGGGTTTCCCTTCAACTCTGCAAGCTAGATGCTGCTATAATTTATTTTACAGACTCTAGGAAAATTTATAGGTTATGAGTAAGATTAGTCAAATTTGAAATTCAAGCGGCTCTTCAATATTTGAGAAGATACTCAACTTTCCTCACAAAATGAGTAATACACTTTAAAACTTCATTGAAACACCATAGTTCACCTATCAGACTATGTCTATAAAAAATAACATAAGTTCCCTGGATTCAAATCAAGGATCAAGCCTATCCTCTCAGTACACAGAGATGATAGGGATGGGTAACTTAGACATTGAGTACCTAAACTGGCAGGGTGGGGGGGTGGAGCTATAAAGACATGAAGTGGTTGGCTTACAAGTTTTCAAGAGGGCATTTAGTTTCAGACCCAGGGGGTGGAAGATAGAATCCCCATTGAATAGTTTTCATCTTGTCTAAATGAGTCCTGTAAAAGGAGGTGGGGATAGGCTTCTTTTGATTCAATAGTGAGTAGTTATTATCTTGACTAATTGTGATGGTCACCAGTGTAAAGTAGAAGATGTTGTGTGACAAAAGGGGGGGAGTAGTTAATCTTACTACTAGGCCCTAGGACCACCAAGAAGGAAGAGCATGAGTGGAACATAGGATCCTAACCAGAAAAGCAGCGACACCAGAGATGGAGGCAAGGGTGATGGCATGGAGAGACAGAATAGCTGTGTGCTGATGGGCAGGGGGCTGGTTTTCAAAATGTGCCCTTTGGTTGTTATAACAATTATATATTCCTGCATGCTTTTGTCTAAATCCAAAAGAGGAAAAAAAAAAGTTTCCTGAAGTGAGAAAGTGCTTTTAGAGACTCAGAAACACCTAGAAAGTCAATCAAGGGATCATAGACTAAGTGATGGAAAAGACATCAGAAAACTTCCTAGTGCATTCTGTCCTTTCAGCCAAGGTTCCTAGATTTACTGGAGGTCACTGTAGCAACCAGAGTGACAAGAAGCTCCAATCAGCTACTTCTAAATCTATGACTTTATCAGTGTAGAGCAGACAGTTCAGAGGTTTCCAGTTTGCCAACTAGATAAAAGAAATCAGTACTTTGAAAACTACATCCAGAATTTTTTTTAGAGAACTACTATTTTAGCTTGCCCAAGAATAGAACTTCTAAGGGGGAACTTCCCCCAACAAACTGGGGTATCTACTTGAAAAAGTCATTTAATTCTTTCTCTCTTTTTTAAAAAAATTTCATCTTACTTGAAGAAAATACAAATCTCTGCATTTAGATAATTTCTCAAACCAAATTGGAAAGCAATATAAAAAGGTGGTCTACAAACAGTATCAAGATGAGTCCTTCACCAAGCGCATGGAGAATTCTAATATACAAGATGGGATTTTGGGCCCTGTCATCAGGGCCCAAGTCAGGGACACACTTAAAGTAAGTAACAATAATACCTGATTATGTGTTTCTTTTTTTTTTAAAAGGTACTCATGTAGTTTAAAATTCAAACTCAGTTTTTAGTTAGTGTTTGCATTTACTTATATCTTAACTCATACAACATAGGATCTGAGACAGTTTATAATGTTACAGAGGAAGCTGCTGTAGTTGGGATAAAGAATACTATGGTAGTGGTGGTTATGTTCCATGGAGTTGGTTCCGTCTCATAGCGACCCTGTACAGGGTTTCCAAAGCTGTAAATCTTTACAGGAGCAGAAAGCCTCATCTTTCTCCCGTGGAACATCTGGTATTTTCGAACTGCTGACCCTGAGGTTAGCAGCCCGGTTTGTAATCACTACACTACCAGAGCTCCTTAAAGCATACTATGGGGACAAAAAAATAAAGCTAAGGATAATATAAACATTATAAAGCACAGATGGTAGAGTCCTATAAAGTTGTTTGCAAATATTGTGCAAAGCTTTCTAATAGCTAAAATAAAAGGGAAATATGTGAGATCAAGAGTTTCAATATTCATAAAAGAAAAAACTTTCTTAATATTGAGGCCTAAAAGAACTTTTTCCCATGATTCCTTGAAAAGTGGATGCTGTGTTTGTAGATGATGGCATCCTTGACAAAATCTTTACAACTGGTACCATAAATAAACTGCATGTTCTTCTTGTTGTTAAGTGCCGTTGAGTTGGTTCTGACCCAGAGTGACCCCGTATGGTGTTTTGGAGGCTGTACATCTTTGCGGGAGCTGAAAGTCTCATCTTTATCCTGTGGAGAACCTGGTGGGCTCAAATCGCCAACCTTGTGGTGTGCAATCCAGCACTTACCATACATAAACAACATGCTCCCCTCAAACTTTGCTTAGCTATTAAAAGAATGTTGATCATTATAGCTGTAAATACAAATAATTAAAAACAATTATTCAAAGGAAACAAAATGATTTGGTCTAGGTTTGCAATTTTCTGATGGTTGGTTATGATCCAAAGATAAATTTAGATATGTAGAGAGAACACTGAATGTTCTTCAGACACGTCCCCAGAAATATAATGTCGTATAACCAAACTTTTGGTAAGAACTAGTAGAGTTCAAGGTTGCAATCTTTGGCAAGATTCTATAATGTAGGTAACCTAAAGGTTAAGGATGATTAAGGATGACCTAATTGTTTTCATATTCATTCAAGTAGAAGATAAGCTAAGGTTCTCTTGAAAATTAAGGACCCTCACTAGACTTCCTTTATCAATAATTCCTTCCCTTCCCCTTGGCATGGGGGTGGACTAAGGAGATAACTGCAGACATAGTTCTTCCTGCTTATTTTTAAATAACAGAAGGAAAAAAGCAGTCTTTTGCTGTGTTTCTTTTGCTTCATCCATTTCCTGTGAACTCTTTCATGTGCTCTTGGCAAGTATTAACCTGCTTCACAGGAAATCCAGGAGCTCTGGTAGCGTAGTGGTTACGAATCGGGCTGCGAACCTTAAGGTCAGCGGTTCGAAACTACCAGCTGCTCCGCGGGAGAAAGATGAGGCTTTCTACTCCCGTAAAGATTTACACCCTTGGAAACCCTGTACAGGGTCGCTATGGGTCGGAACTGACTCGACGGCACTTAACAACAACAACAACTCAAAGATGTAGCTGTAGTAGATCTGGCAGGAGGAAAGAGGGTCATGATCTTGAGATGAGAATCTCAGTCCACATTCAAAGGGAGCTGTGGTCCAGGTAGGCAAGGCAGGGAGAGGATGATGGACCTGAATGGATGTTAGACTCTGAGGGCAATGTTGCCTTTCCTCCTTGCTTTCAAAGGTCAGACTTCTCTTACCATTTCCACTTAATGTGTGAGTGAACATCTCTTAAATGATCTTGCCAGGCAATGGAAAAAGCTTACTCCTCATAAAACTATCGTTGGTTTCCTCACCATTTGTTCCAGCACACATGCCATATACACCCACACATACCGTCCAATGAGTGAATATGCAAAAGTAGTATCTTGTATTAACTCTCATATTTGACCTGAAATAATGAACTTAATTTACTTTTGTAGATTGTGTTCAAAAATATGGCCAGCCGCCCCTATAGCATTTACCCTCATGGCGTGACCTTCTCTCCTTATGATGATGAAGCCAACACTTCTTCCACCTCAGGTTTGACTCTTTCACTTCTATGGGATGAAACTGTTTTCCTCTGAGACTTCCTTCCCTGCCCCCCACTGTCTTACTTGCTCAGTATTATGATTAGTGCAGTCACATAGAATACATGTATTGTTGCTGTTAAGTGCTGTTGAGTTGGTTCCAACTCATAGCAACCTTGTATAGTGTTTCCAAGGAGCAGGTGGTAGTTTGAACCACTAACCTATAGTGCCACACCAGGACGAAACGTCACAACCAAACTCTTCTCACTTCAGGAATTTTGTTTACTTTCCATCTAGTAACCAAAAACCCCCCACCTAGTTCCTGTCTAATTGATTCTGACTCATGGAAACCCTATGTATGTCAGAGTAGAACTATGTTCCATAGAGTTTACAATGGCCGATATTTCATCAGAATTTCTTCTCAGACACCTCTAGATGAACTGGCACTTCCAACCTCCTAGTTAGCAGTCCGTGTGTTGACCATTTGTATCACCTAGGGTCTCCAGGTTTATTTTGTTCTGGTTGTTGTTAAGTGCCATCAAGTCAGTTCTGATTCATAGTGATCATGCATAGGGTTTCCAAGGAGTGGCTGGTGAGTTTGAACCAATGACCTTGTGGTTCAAACCAACTTTGCAGTCCAGTGCTTTATCCCACAGCGCCACACCAGTGTTTACAAAGCGTGGTATCTTTTTTTGGTGTCATAGCAGTCTCTACATGTTCTCCAGGCTTCTACCAAAAAGAGGTTAATAGAAAAAGAATATTCCCTTCTCAGTATTATTTGGTTCTGATGAAAGCTCTAATATTTATTTGTAATCATGAAATGATTTTCCAAATGAAAACAATGTTGAGTACCTTTTTTTTTTTTTTTCCAGGCAGTGGCTCCATGATCAGAGCAGTCCAACCAGGAGAAACCTATACTTACAAATGGAACATCCTAGAGTCTGATGAACCCACAGAAAATGATGCCCAGTGCTTAACAAGACCATACTACAGTGATGTGGACGTCACAAGGGACATTGCCTCTGGACTGATAGGGCTACTTCTAATTTGTAAGAGCAGATCCCTGGACAAGCGAGGCATACAGGTATTTTGCTCTTGAAGTAACCTTGCAAAAATTCCAGCAATTTATTCTGGCTGGACCAAATTAGGTTCTTGTTAAATCGAGGGATGTTCCTTCTAGAGATCTGTAATATTGAGTTATCCTCTTTAGTATTCATGTGATGCCATTTATTCTTTTGATTTCCTTTTTGTCTTGTCTACCTTCATCTGGACTCTCACTTCAGAAGACAAATCTACAGTGTGATGATCTATTTTGTTTGGTTCCAGATCCTAGGTTTGTTGATATTAGCTGTGCTATCTTGAAACACATTGCTTAGCCTACCGTAATTTGTTAATATCCAAGCCCCCTAAAATTTTTACAGGGTTGTTTCAGGGATCAAGTGATATTCTTCTTGTTGTTAAATGCCATCAAATCAGTTCCAGCTCAAAGCAACCCTATATAGGGTTTCTGAGGGGCGGCTGGTGAGTTTGAACTACTGACCTTGTGGTTCAAACCACTGACTTTGTGGTTCAAACTGACCTTGCTGCCCAGTGCTTTACCCTATAGCACCACATGTGGTAAAACCATAAATCTCTATACCAATCCTTGTTATTTCTAGAGACTTGAAATATGAACAGATAGGCTCAATTCCCTGAAAGCAAGTGCACTTACTTGGAAAAATAATTTCTTATTAAGTTGAACCCAGATAAGAGTCTGTCTTTGGTGAGATTAAATTATACAGAAGAATGTGAACAAAGATGAATCTTCTGTGTTTATCTTCAGTGAAGAATTAATAGCTTCATATTATTAACCCTAAAATTGCCAGAGAAGAGTCTATGCTCATCTGTTATCAAAGAGGCTTCATCCCAAGTCATACAAAATAAATATGAAACTAACAAGATACCCCATTACTATTGAGTGAATTCTGACTCATAGTGACCCTATAGGGCAGAATAGAATTGCCCATAGGGTTTCCAAGGCTGTAAATCTTTACTGAAGCAGATTGTCATAGATTTTCCCCATGGAGCAGCTGATGTGTTCAAACCACTGATAGTTCAGTTAACAACTGAGCATGTAACCACTGCACCACCAGAACTCCTTATGAAATAAATATAACCCACTTCCGTGGAGTAGATTCTACTCTACTAATAGCAGACCTATATATGATTCCCAAAGCTGTAAATTTTTATGCAAACAGAATGCCTCATCTTTCTCCCAAAGCTGGTGGGTTTGAACTGCTAACCTGTGGTTAGTAGTCCGGTGCTTATCCTATAGGACCAGCAGGACTCTAATAAATAAACACCTAAGGAAATGAGAAATTGGCATTTGCCATTTCCTGTTTTATTGAGCTATGAAAGCAATCAGGTATGGAGAGATTCAAGGCTTTCCTATTGCAGCCTTCTGTTTAATCCTTTGCAACTGTTTGGGTTACAATCCTGCAGATTGTTCAGGTTCAAGGTGCTCAATTGCAGAAATGAAGAGACTTTCTGTTGTCTCTGAATTTTCTGATCTGGAATGTTTGCTTTTGCATAGTGCCTGTGCCTTGTGCATAATGAGTTCTCATAAATGCTGGAGTGCGTGGCTTTAGTGTGCTTTAGTGTTGTAGATAATTTGTTGGAATACTGATCATTAAGCACAGTACTTTCCCCCTCCAGAGGGCAGCGGACATTGAGCAGCAGGCTGTGTTTGCTGTGTTTGATGAGAACAAGAGCTGGTATCTTGAGGACAACATCAACAAGTTTTGTGAAAATCCTGATAAAGTAAATCGTGATGACCCTAAATTTTATGAATCAAATATCATGAGCAGTAAGTTGAATCACTGTTTTCTCCATCATTCTTCTCCTTCATACTTGTGCTTGAGGTATGACTGTGCCTAGGGGCAGAGTCACGGATTAGAATCCACACACTAAAGAGTACCTCTTATCCTCACTTTCAATGCAAGGGTTTGGTGATGAATTTGCTGGGTGGCATCACAGCAACCATTTTACAGCAATAGTTCATCCTTGGAAGTCACCATGTGACCTCCTACTTCAGATCTGTGCTCTGCAAAGTGAGGGGTGAGGATGGGGGTAAGAGATGCCATAGGTTTCAATATTATCTGGAGATTTCAACTGGGACCAAGGTGAATACTTGTTTTGGCCAGGACAGAAATTAGGCAAATAATCCAAAGGTAGGTTGTGAAATCGCAATAAGGCAAAATAAGCATGGGGAGCAAAGAGTCAAAGAGAGTCCATATGTGAAGTGGTTCCTTGAAAGTATTCTTCACATATGTGATGTCAACGAAATTCAACTTAAACTTCTGCTGTTACTGTTGTTAACTGCCATTGAATTCATTTCACCTCATGGTGACCCTTTGTGTGCAGAGTAGAACTGTTCTGTAGGGTTCTCAAGGTTTGTATGAAAAGCTTTGAAGGGAGCAGTAAGTTCAGAATAGAAGGAATTTCTTATCCCAGGGTCCAGGCATTTGTTGCAGTTTTAAACGTCAGGACCCAAAGCCACTGCTATAGGAAGCCTGAGAGTCATTTCATAGAGCCAGGTGGAAGCAAACATCGCTGCTACAGTGGGGTCCCCGCCACAGTTCCTCTAGCTGGGGAGTTACCATGACCACCTTTTCTGATGCTCTGGTAGCATAATGGTTACAAATCAGGCTGCCAACCTCAAGGTCAGCAGTTCAAAACTACCAGGAGTTCCGCAGGAGAAAGATGAGGCGTTCTGCTCCCATAAAGATTTACAGCCTCAGAAACCCTGTGCAGGGTCACTATGAGTTGGAACCAACTCCACGGTACTTAACAACAGCAACATTCCTACAGAAGAAGATGGTTTCTCCATGGTCTGCTCATATAATTTCAGATGACTGACACTTGGGGATTTTGTAAACAAGCAGCTGCCATGTCAAGCAGTTCATTCTAAAGTTATTCCCAGATTTCTTTGCATGCTTTTATTTTGGTAGTGAATCAGTCTAGATGAGCACGGTCCAGTAGAAATTTAGTAGGACCTACATAGGTAGTTTTAAAATTTCTAGCGATTGTTAGGTGCCATCCAGTTGGTTTTGACTCATAGTGGACCCTATGTACAGCAGAAAAAAAACATTGTCACAATTGTTTCTGTGTTTGAGGCCATTGTTGCAGACCCTGTGTCAACCCATCTCATTCCTCTTTTTTGCTGGTCTTCTACTTTACTGAGCATGATGTCCTTCTCCATTAAAAATTAAAGAGAAATACATGAAATTAATTTGAATTTGATTTGATCCATTTCAACATGTAATTGATATAAAAAATAATGAGATGTCAATTTCTAAATATTTTTTTGTTAAATCTTTGAAATGACATGTGAATTTAACAGTAATCGTACATCTCATTTCAGACTACCCATATTTCAAGTGCTCAGTAGCCACCTGTAACTATTGGCTGCCATATTGGGCAGTGTAAACCATTTAGAAAAAATATCTAGAAAAATATCCAGAATGAAAAGTAAACTAATAGCCAATAACTGATAGCTTATGCCAAACTAATAGCGTTATCTCAGTCATTTGACAAATATTTGTTAAATGCCCACTAGCACCAGACTTTGTGCCTATAGTGGTGACCCAGGCAGATGTGGTCCCTGCCCTTATAGAAATCATTTGATTTTGTTACTATGATTAGTAAACCATACTGCCAAAAGTAATACTACTTTTAAAGATAATAAAATGTATGAATTCAATACTTGAAAACTTAGATGATATCATATGGAGTCCTGGTGTGGCCCTGTAGGATAGGTACTGGACTCCTAACCACAAGGTCAGTGGTTCAAACTCACCAGCTGCTCCTTGGAAAGCCTAAACAGGGTTGCACTGGGTCAAAACCAACTCAACAGCATTTAACAATAACAACAACATCGATGATATACATGGTAAGTGGTGGCTGTAAAAATTACAAAATGTACTAAATAGGCTTCATTTTGAAGGACATTATTTCTGATTCAATGTGTCAAGACTAATATATCAAGAAGATGAATTTCTTATAATTTTCCTCCAAGTAGAATTATTCTGGTTAACATTCTAAATCGATCATTAGAATAGCCTTAAAGGCAGAGCATGGAGCATAAAATACTTCATATACATTTGATGATTGAAACAATTAATATAAATGAAAGACGTATTTATCCTGACATTTCTCCCTTGGCTAAATTAGGAGAATAAGCTCTCATTTGGGGAATCTGAGTTTACTGGTCTGGTTGTTGTTAAGTACCATGGAGTCAGTTCCGACTCATAGTGACCCTGCACAGGGTTTCTGAGGCTGTAAATCTTTATGGGAGTAGAAAGCCTCATTTCTCCCGCAGGACAGCTGATAGTTTCGAACTGCCGACCTTGCGGTTAGCAGCCTGATTCCTGCTAGCTATGGCAAAGCTTCTCTTGGATAATCCCTGCTTTGGCACAGTGGTTTTAGGGGGCTTTTGTATTACATATAATGAGACATAGGGCCTTTCGTTGGCACAGGGCTGGCATTTTAACAGATTTGATTCTTTCAGCTATCAATGGCTTTGTGCCTGCAAGCATCCGCACACTTGGATTCTGTTTTGATGATACTGTTCAGTGGCACTTCTGCAGTGTGGGAACCCAGAATGACATTTTGACCATTCATTTTACTGGACATTCATTCATCCATGGAAAGAGGCATGAGGATACACTGGCCCTCTTCCCCATGCGTGGGGAATCTGTGACCGTTACAATGGATAATGTTGGTAAGTAAGAGCCTGAACATTTGGAGACAAAGTTGATTTATTTTTTTTAATATGAACATATTTATTTGTTACACTTAGAAATCTATTTTATTTTTTATTGGACTCAGACTTAGAGGTAGAATCTGTCATAGAAGACAGCTTCCATCTCTAGGCAATCTGTTCCTGACCTTTTTCTTTGGCCTCCTTCATTCTTTCTGCCAAAAGCTTGGCATATTCTGTGGCCTCCTACCAAACTTTCTTAGTGAACTGTTTCTTCAGAGCAAAACACCAACGTTTGTGTTGCAGGACACGTGGAGTAACGAGACGCTGTACTTTGAGCATTTTGGTCCTGGGTTTCTTGCCGTCTTGGTCCAGTGGCTTTCTCACAACATACTGGCGGACATCATCTGCTTTGGTCATGGTAGTTATGTGCCGTTGAGTCAGTTTGGACTCATAGCAACCCTGTATAGGGTTTCAGAGGCTTTAAAGGAGCAGAAAGCCTCATCTTTCTCCCATGGAATGTCTAGTAGTTTCAAACTGCTGACCCTGGGGTTCGCAGCCCGACTCATAACCATCTTCTTTAGAGATTAAAAAGTTTAAGGATCCTGCTAGTTCTTTTGGGCTGACAACTTTGATTTTTGACTCTCCAATATATAAAGGCCTTTTGCAACTCTCAGACCTGGGCTTATCTTTCTATCCATTGCAGACTCTCCTTTTAATGCTTCTGTGATATCTATTTTGGGAAATTAATTCTTTTAATGGGAATGGGCCCCGTCTATTATTAGCATGGACTTAATTTTTCTTCTCTGGGTTAAGTAGGAAGTAAAGATGCACACTGCGGCAGAAAGATAAAGTATAGCTTTGAGAAAGCATAAACATTTCAGCCACAAAGAATATTTCTTTAGTCAAAATGCCCTTGCAGGTTTTTTGAGTTTTTTTTAAGGTAGCCATCTTCCTCTTTTTGGTCACTGTAGCAGAAAGAATTGCTCAATGTTGAATCACTTTCAGAGGTACCATATGATCAAGAGCCAGTGGTATTGAAGGAAGACATTCAAGCTGCACTGAAGGCATTGACAGAAAAAATTCCAGGAATTGATGGAATACAAATTGAAGATTTTCAGCAAACTGATGTCGCCCTAGCGGTGCTTACTTATCTATGCCAAGAAATTTGAAAGCTGTTACGTGACCAATCTATTGGAAGAGACCCATAATTGAGCCTATTCCATAGAGAGGTGACCCACCATAATGCAGAAATCATTCAACAATATCATTAATACCACATGCAAGGAAACTGTTGCTAAAGATAATTTTTAAATGACTGTGACAGTAAATCAACAGGGGGCTGGTAGAAATTCAAGCTGAATTCAGAAAAAGATGTGGAACATCAGATGAATCTTGGCTGAAAGCAGAGAACAGCAGAAAGTTGTTTACTTGTGTTTTATTGACTATGTAAAGGCATTCGACTATGTGGATCATAACAAACTATGGATAACATTGCAAAGAATGGTTATTCGTGAACACTGAATTGTGCTCATGAGGAACCTGTACATAGACCAAGAGACAATCGTTCGAATGCAAAAAGGGACTATTGAATGGTTTAAAATCAGAAAAAAATGTACATCAGGGTTGTAGCCTTTCTCTATTTGATTAAATCTATATGCTGATCAAATAAACCAAGACATTGTATTATATGAAGAAGAACACGGTATCAGGATTGGAGGAAGACTCATTAAAACCTGTGATATGCAAATGATACAACTTTCTTGCTGAAGGTGAAAGCCTTGAAATACTGATGAAGATCAAAGTCTACAGCCTTCAGTATGGATTGCACCTTAATGTAAATAAAACAAAAATCCTCACCATTGGACCTTTAAATAACATCATGATAAAAGGAGAAAAGACTAAAGTTGTCAAAAACTTCATTTTGCTTGGATCTACAATCAATGCTCATGGAAGCAGCAGTCAAGAAACAATGTATTACATTAGACAAATCTGATGCAAAAGTCCTCTTTAAAGTGTAAAAGAGCAAAGATGTAACTTTGAGGATTAAGGTGCACTTGACCCAAACCACAATATTTTCAAACACCTCATATGATGTGAAAGTTGGACAATGTCTATGGAAGACCAGAGAAGAAATGGTGCATCTGAATCATGGTGTTGGTGAAGAATATTGAAAGCAGTATGGATTGCCAGAAGAATAAACAAATCTGTCTTAGAAGAAGTACAATCAGAATGCTCTTTAGAAGTGAGAAATATAATCTTTTATACTTTGGACATATTATCAGGAGGAACCAGTCCCTGGAGAAGGAGACCATGCTAGGAAAAGTGGATGGTCAGTGAAAAAGAGCAAGACCCCCAAGATGAATCAGCACAGTGGCAAAAACAATGGGCTCAAACATAACAACAATTGTAAGGTTGGTGCAGGACCGGGCAGGATTTCCTTCTGTTGTGCATAGGATTGCTATGAGTTGGAACTAACTCAACAGCACATAACAACAACAATAACATCTCACTCTAGGGTGAGCCATTACCAGACATAGTGCTTTAGAGGCTGAGCCTCAGAGACAGCCAAGTAGCATGGAAAGCACATGAGTTTTGGAGTTCACTAGAACTGGGTTCACATCCTATTCTGCCATTGAATATCTATGTATCCTCACACATGTTACCTTACCTCAATGAACCTCACTTCTCAAATAATCACACCTCACAGAGTTGCTTTGAGCATTAATTGTAGTGTGTGTGAAGTTCCTAGCACTTAGTACACAATCAACAAGTGGTAACTATTGGAGACTTCACCATGCCAGGAAATCTTCAGTGTGCCAGCAAGTCATAACATGTCTAAGAGATTCAAAATTGCCTTGAGTCCCGCTGAATTATTTATTGACTAAAAGGTATTGCTTTACATTAAAAAAGAATGTAAATTGAAAAAGAATCTAAGGAAAACAAAAATCCTCACCACTGGACCAATAAACAACATTCTCATCAATGGAGAAAAGATTGAAGTCATCAAGGACTTCATTCTTCTTGGATCAACTATTAACACTCATGGAAGCAGCAGTCAAGAAATCAAATGACGTATTGCATTAGGCAAATCTGCTGCACAAGACCTTTTTAAAGTGTTGAAGAGCAGAGATGTCAGTGTGAAGACTAAGGTGTGCCTGACCCAAGCCATGGTATTTTCTATAACCTTATATGCATGCGAAAGCTGAACAGTGAACAAGGAAGACCATAGAAGAATTGATGCTTTTGAGTTACGGTGTTGGAGGAGAATATTGAAAGTGCCATGGGCTGCCAAAAGAACCAACAGAGCTGTGTTGGAAGAAGTACAGCCAGAGTGCTCCTTGGAGGCCAGGATGGCCAAACTTCGTCTCTCATACTTCAGACTTATTATCAGGAGGGAGCAGTCACTGGAGAAGGATATCATGTTTGGCAGGGTGGAGGGTCAGAGAAAAAGATGAAGACCCCCAGCAAGATGGATTGGCAAAGTGGCAGCATCAATGGGCTCAAGTGTGGCAACAATAGGGAGGTTGGCCCAGGATCAAGCAGTGCAGTGTTTCGTTCTGCTGTGCATAAGGTCACTATGAGTCGGTATCGAATAGATGGCACCGAACAACTACAACAACAAAAGGTATTTACTCTTACTATCCCATCCCCCCTGGAGTCCTGGTGTGGTGCTGTGGGCTAATGTGTCAGACTGCAAAGTCATTTGAACTGCAAGGTTTAAGCTCATCAACTAACTGCTCCTTGGAAACCCTATACAGGGTCACTATGGGTTAGAATTGACTCGACTGCATGTAACAACAACAACATCCCATCCCCCATTCTTTTAAAACGATTTTTTCATTTGTCTCACATTACTTTCCACTTGTCCAAGAAACTGCAGTGTCTTAGATCTTTACAAAACATGGTCTTCTGCTTCTTCCTTTTCCTGTAACAAGCCTAAGAGTCTCTTTATGGGCATGTGGGACTTTTATTCTACTAATAACAATAGGGAATAGAAAGTAGTTAAGAATGGTAAAAGCTAGAAAAGCCAAGTACCATAAATGCACAGTACTTAGAAATATTGAACTTTTTCTGATTTCAGAAACATTGGGGGTATACCTCATCATCAACCCCACTCCAATTCTTAAGCACCTAGTGTGTATCTGAGAAGATATTTATGATATTCAAAGTTTATTTTATTCTCGATTCATCCTCTCCTTAGTATATTCTAATATAATGACTCTCAAAATATCTGTACTCAAAGACCTTTTTGTTCTTCTCCTTGGGTTACCCATTGGGCTCTGATTGCAAGGTTAACAGTTCAAATCTACTAGCTGCTCCATGGGAGAAAGATGAGGCTTTCTACTCCCCTAGATTTACAGCCTTAGGAACCCTATACAGCGTTGCTATGAGTTGAAACCGACTCAATAACACACAACAACAATCTTTACAAAGGAACCTTGGTGGTGCTATAGTATAAGCACTGAGCTAAGTAACCATAAGGTTGGCATTTCAAATCCACCAGTCACTCCACAGGAGAAAGATAAGGCTATAAGGATTTATAAAAACCCTATTGAGGGTCACTATGAGTCAGATTCGACTTGATGGCAGTGGGCTTGTATTTTTTGGGTGCTGTAGGATAAGCACTCGGCCTTAAAGTCAGTTTGAACTACAAGGTTGGCAGTTCAAACTCACCAGCCGCTCCCTAGTAACCCTATACAGGGTCACTATGAGTTGGAACTGACTCTTTGGCACTTAGAATCTAATCTATAGACTAATAAATTCTGGCTTATATTATGTTAAATGAGATGATTGCACAGCTCCCATACCTGGATGTCACCCCAATATCAAATTGCTAAAACATTTTCTAAACACTTTACACTCAATTTCTGACCTTATGGTCATTATGGACCAGTGACCAGCAGTTGTCCACAGACCACACTTGAGTATCCTTGTCTAAAGTTTGTTAGAAATAATCTGTTACTATGGTTCCTAGCATTTTTATAGCCTTTTTGAACTTTCAGTTCTCTCTTCTGTCTCTCTACTGTAGGAACTTGGATGTTAACTACCACGAGTTCTAGTCCAAGAAGCCAAAATTTAAGGCTGCGATTTAGGGATGTTAAGTGTATCCGGAATGATTATGACTATTCATATGAGATTATATATGGACCTCCTACGTCTACACCCATGGACACTCGGAAAATGCATGAAGATCAAAGTGAAGAGGATAATTACTATGATGATTATCAGGAACTTTTGGCATTATCATTTGGAATTAGGTCATTCAGAAATTTATCACTGAGTCAAGAGGAAGATGAGTTAAATCTCACTGCCATAGCTCTGGAGAACAGCTCTGAATTCATTCCCACAAGTGCAGATACAGCTGTTAGTTCAAATTCTTCTTCTCCAAGTAACATTAGTTGGTCCACAGATAATGACCTCTCAGAATCTCAAAAAACTCTTCCTCCCTCTATGGCCACAACCACTGAGTCCCCCCTGGGGCACCCCACTGGCTTAAACAGGAACTCAGCTCTCAACCCTCCCTCAGCAAAACATTCTAGCCCTTACTCTGAAGACTCTATAGAGGATCCTCTACAGTCAGATGTTACAGGGGTAAGCTTACTGCCTTTTAGTGGGAAAAGATTCAGGACTCTCCAGAAGGAAATACCAGCACATGAAACTGGAAGACATTTAAGACAAGGCAATATATCTCCTTCCAGAATGGTGTCCTGGAAGGACCGTCCTCGTGATCTGTTTCTCTTAAAACCAAAGAATTCGTCTAAGATTTTGAATGGGAAATGGCATTCGGTTTCTGAGAAAGGCAGTTACAAAATTATCCAAGAAATTGATGAAGATATGACTGTTAATAAACTGCTGAAGAGTCCCCAGAATGACTCAAGGACTTGGCGAGACAGCACTCCCCTTATAAAAAAGTATGGAAAGCAGAGTGGCCACTCAAGGTTTGCTGGAGTTAGACATAATTCTGTACAAGTAAGACAAGATAGAAAAAATAATGGATTGAAGAAATCCTCTTTTTACATTAGAACACGAAAAAAGAGAAGGGGCCAGACACTTACAGACCATGTGTCTATGTCTCCTAGGGGCTTTCACCCCTTAAGAGGAAAGAACTATACCACATTTTCAGATGGAAAACTTGATGATTCATTGTTAGTCCATAATTCCAGTGAAGAATCTCTTCTCACAGACCTCAACCAGACATTGTCCTCTATAAATCTTGGCCTGATAGCTTCACTTCCTGACTACAATCAGAACCCCCAAAGCAATGACACTGGTCAGACAAGCTACCCTTCAGATCTTTATCAGACAGAACTCCTAGAGGAACACTCTTATATCCAAGACGCTGATCAAATGCACTCTACTACTGATCCCAGTCACAGAGCCTTTACTCCAGAGCTTGACCAGATGGTCAACTATGACCTAAGTCACAAGCCATCCCCAGTAGACAGTGAGCAAATGTTTCCTTCCTTGGAACCTGAAGTTAGGCCAACAATCACCCCTCCAGATATCCATCAACCATCCCTCTTTCCAGAGCTCAGCCCGACTACCCTCTCTCCAGATGATTTCTATTCAGAAGTTAGTCAGACAATGCTTTCACACGACCTAAATCAGGTGACTCTTTCTCCAGAATTCAGTGAGACAAACTATTCCCCAGATGTCAGCCAGGTAACTGACTCTTCAGAGCTCAGTAAAGTAACCCTCACTTCAGAACTCAGCCAGGTGATTCTCTCTCCAGATGACTTCTCATCAGAATTCAGTCAGACAACCTTCTCTCCTGACCTCAGTCAGATGACTCTTTCTCCAGAATTCAGTCAGACAAACCTTCCCTCAGACCTCAACCAGGCAACCCTTTCTTCAGAACTCAGGCAGATGACCCTTCCTCCAGACCCCAGGCAGACATTGCCTCCTCCAGACCTTGATCAGACATCCTACGCTCCTGAATCTAGCCAACCTTTTCCAGAATTTAGTCCTACTCTCACTTCTCCAGACCCAAATCATATGCCATCTCCCCCACCATCTCCTCCACCAAATGACACTCTAATACCAACGCAATTTAATCCACCAGTTGTAGTGGGCCTTTCTGGAGATGATGGAGATTATATTGAGATTATTCCAAGGCAGGAAATCCAAAACAGTGAAGAAGATTCTGTTGAAATGGATTATGTGTTTTATGATGATCCCTACCAAACTGACATCAGGACAGACATCAACTCCTCCAGAAATCCTGACAACATTGCAGCATGGTACCTACGTAGCAACAATGGAAACAGAAAGACATATTACATTGCTGCTGAAGAAATATCCTGGGATTATTCAAAATTTGTACAAAGGTTTGGCTAGTTTCTTTCTCTTATATTTTCATTTTTCCACTATTGCTAAAACAAACAAACAAAAAAACCCATTACCATAGTCCAGGGAGTTCTGGTGTGTCATAGTCCTGGAGTCTTGGTGTGGCAATGTAGCATAAACTCTAGACTCCTAACTTCAAGGTTGGCAATTCAAACTCACCAGCTACTCCTTGGCTGCCCTATACAAGTTGAAATCAATGGCACTTAACAACAAAAATAGCAACATAGTCCAGGGGGAAAATTCTAGGCTGATTATGTTAAGTATGCTTTAGGTTCCCCTGTTACAAAATGGCCTGAGCTATTTCCTTTGTCAATTCTAAGATTAGTTTCTCTACTTTAAATGATACCTGCACAGTATAAAAACAACCACTATGAGAAGTTTTAGAATTCTATAGTTGAATAGTTTCCCCCTCTATTCTTCTTTCATTACATACTTTGGCAATTTGCTAATCAAGATTTCAAAACAAGTTTATGAGGTAGAAATCATCTTTTGCATATACTTAGTACATGCATATATATGTTGCTGTTTTTAAGTGCTGTCTACTCTGTTCTGACTTAAAACGACCCTGTACAGGGTTTCCAAGGAGCAGTTGGTGGGTTTGAACTACCAATCTTGCATTTAGCAGTCCAGTGCTTATCCTACGGTGCCACTGTATGTGGTGTTGGTGTTGGTGGTCATATGCCACTGAGTCAGTTTCAAGTCACAGCAACCCTGCATAGGGTTTCTGACGGGGCAAATCTTTATGAGAACAGAAAGCCTCATCTTTTTCCCACGGAGAGACTTGCAGATTTGAACTGCTTACCTTGCAGTTAGCAACCCAGCTTACAATCTGCTATGTTACCAGGGCTCCTTACATATATACATACATGTGTATATATATATA